CTTTGAACTTGGACTTAAAGCCTCCAAATGTAAGAATAAGCTCCTATTTGTTAAGTCCGTCCCATTTGTGGTATATTCTTGTCAGAGCGGCACTAAGTAACCAGTATAAGCCTGGTGGAACCACTGAGACTATGGCCCCTAGCTGCCCTTCAGGTCTGGAATTGAACCTACACTTGTGGCTTCTAATCAAACAAAAGACAGGCATATGAGTTGAACATTTACCTGAGGTAGATACACTTCTTGGAGAGAACAAGCATGGGAGAAAGAAGGGCTGGTTATGCACAGAGAGACAGCTCAGGGGGCAGGGGTGCATGGAGGGATGGACACAAGGAAGAGGTAACTATCGGGAGGAAGTGAGAGAGGAGCTGTTGCATTGTGGTAAAATGTGGTCAATGTCATGAGACAAAGTGTATGTGAACTGCTGTATGGAAAGTGAATTTGGTGAATTTGCTCTGTATAATTTTACCCAAAAAAAAAAAAAAACAGTTTGCCTTGTTAACTGTGCTCCCTAAGGTTTTCATGATGGATTTTTTTTTTTGGTAAGGAGATCATCAGGTTTTTTTTCCAAGTCACCTCTGAGTTGATTCAAACCTCCAACCTTTTGGTTAGCATCTAAGCATGTTAACCACTTCCACTATACTACCTGTTGCTGTCCAGTCAATTCCGACCCACAACGCCCTAGAGGACAGAGTGGAACTGCCCACTGGGTCTCCAAGGCTGTCAATCTTCACAGCAGCAAAGCCCAAACCACATCCACTGCCCTGCAGACCATTCTGACTCACAGCGCCCTTAGAGGACAGAGTAGAACTGCCCCATAGGCCTTCCAAAGCTGCCATATTTATGGAAGCTGACTGCCACATCTTTCTTCCTTGGAGTGTCTGGTGGGTTTGAGCTGCTGATCTGTTACTGGCCAAGTGCTTAACCAATGTGCAATCAGGGCCGCTTCACACCGCATTAGGCCCCTCCAGTCTTTCTTGGGAGATTTGATTCAGTTAACAATAGCTCTGGAGTCTGGAATCTCTCCTGGAGGACATCATGCTTGGTAAACCCCAGCGTCAGTGAAAAGACCCTCCACAAGATGGCTTGACTCAGTGCCTGCAACTATGGGCTCAAACATGGCAAGGATGGTGAGGCTGGCACGGTACCGGGAAGTGTTCAGCTCTGTTGTACGTGGGGTCGCTATGAGTTGGAACTGACTCAACACCACCTAACAACAACCGCCTCTTCCATGGAGTCCCTGGGAGGTGCAAATGGCTGATGTCCTTGGCTGCTAA